GACGACACTTTCTGCCATGACATTTGTCTTTTTAAAAATCTTCCAGCCATATATCTATATAACACAGATGATGTGCTATTTTGGACATATATTTAGATTTGAGGGTAGGTTTGTACAGACCGTGATGACTAACAAAATTAAATGGAGTATATACGAGCCAAAGCTTGGTGCACAAAAATCATAATCATTGGCTGAAAATCCACATTACATTTGTTTCGTTGTCAAGGAGATACACTAACACAACATCACCAAATTCTGTCCAATCGGAACACTTGTCAACAACTCTGTAATAATCCATACGTTTTTACCTGCAGCACATTTAAATTTTGAAAATGTCCAAATTAAAGCTCGCTTCTTCAGCTCAGCAAGCTAACAAAATGAAAATATGGAAGACATAATAACATTTACTTCCTTTTCCATCACAATTAATAATTTGTAGGGTCATACAGTGGACCAAGTAGGAATACATCATTGAAAATCAGTTTTGTCACGTTTCAATCAATAAGGATTTATCAAGAAGAACATCTAAACATAATTTAAAAATACAGAGAAGTCAAAATGTTAATCAAGCAATATTTAAAGGAGATGACGAAATAAGTGTTGTTTCTTTGAAATACTAGAAATAGGATAGTCATTCTCCATACATATATAGTTACTATATTACAATTAATTTTTTGAAAACATGTTCATAAACTTTTTATTTAGATATAATTTTCAGAAGAAAAATAAATCATTATTTCCTGTCATATGATGGGCATTCAGCTCATGGAAGAAATTAAATCAAAAATACAGCTTATCATATCAAACTCAATTTGTTTATACACCTAGAAGACAAACAACTTATGATGATAAAGGACAATGTATATAAATCTATTCATTCACATTGTTATCAGATATATCTAGGAGCTTGTTTCTTTATGACAAACCTACTATATGCAGCCATCCCTAATTTTGACCTGCCAACCAGATGGAAGGCAACTAGCCAACAGCACCCACTGTCAACTCTTAGCCTACTCTATACCAATGAATAATGGGATTGACCATCACATTATTAAACCCCCCACAGCTGAAAGGACAAGCATGTTTAGGAGAAACAGTAAAATTATTAAATAAAGAAATTCAAGAAAATCCTGTTGCCCATCTTAAACCACAGTATCAGTAAAGATTTTAAAAATAGTCCACAGAGAAAGTAATTCCAACTTTATAAAGATTAAAGAGTCTCTTTGCAATAAAAAACTAAATCCATCAACTAATAAATTTGTTGACTGTTCACTATTTTAATACAAGTTACAAAAATTTATGTTTATCTTTTGTTTATAATTTGAAACTATGTCACTGCCTCATCTACTGATAATAATTTAAACCAATTGCAAGATTATAAATTCATGTCTGTGCTAACGATTGCACAGATGACCAAAATGTTCCATGAATAAACTGTTCATCTTTTAACACACTGCAGCAGCTGGTTTTGTAATGTCAATTCACACACCTCATTACTTATACCACTAGAAAGTGCTTTAAATCTTTACTACACATTTTTAATACCTGTTTAGTCAAAGAAGTTGTTAGGTTCATAAGTATCACTCCACACCGGTAACTTGTAGTGAGAATATATATCTAACCATTTAAAGTATAGTTAATAATGTTTATTATTTATTACTACTCTGCAAATTTTTTAATGAAGTATATAAAAATTTTTTATATATTTTACTCTTTATTTACTTATATTTCGTGATCCAACTAGTTAATTATTCATAAGTGATTTAGTTTCATGGAATAAAGTTCATTAACATTTAACTTTTAAAATGAAAGAATAATTCTTTTTATAATATAAAAATGATTCTGATCTGCTGATTAATTAACAAGTCCCTTACTAGTGTGCTCTTCTCTCTGGTTGGCAGTCATTGTGTTGTTCATCTCTGTTGTTGATCCTGGCACCAAAGTCACACACAGAGGGTTAAATGTCCACGTCTGACCTTCAACATTTACTCGAAGATCCCCATCAGAATAGATTTTAGTTACTTTTCCTGTTTTACCTAACACCTGGTTTAAAAAATAAAATAAAGAACAAGATGTAACTTTAAATAACAGGATTTTAAAAGTATGAGATTTATTAACTCTTTTAAAATAATAAGAAAATATATGAACAGCATACACATGACTGACCACTTTACTAGAGCCTCAACCTGGATTAGACTGACCACCTTCTGTTGAAACAGTAGTCTGAATTCAGCATGGCATAAGCATTGTCTTGTTTGAATGTAACCCAGTCATCAATGAAGATGGTTCACAGTTGTAGATATTCTTTGAACCAATGTCTGACAATATAAATGTGGTGAATTGTCACACTATATTCTTGTAAAAGTTTTCGTCTAGCAGAAAGGAAACGTACCGTGATCAGCACAAATGTTTCTGTATATCCTGAATGTTATTCACTATTCTAAAGGAATAACAAGACCCAATTTCTGCTTTCAGAATATTTCTAACATAATTATACCAATTACAAGATCATATGCCTCTACACTAATATATGTACAATCAATGGTAGAACACAATTCATGAGACATCATACAATTATTTATTTCAACAGTTTACGATCTAAATACCACTAAAATTGTGCTATCTTATTTACATCTGACACAAGCAATGTTTGAACTGGTTGTCAACTGACATTGCAGTTAGAGATAGACCAATGTTTATTGCATTCTACAAACCTGTCCAGTCATCTTTACCTTCTCTCCATCATCAACATTTGGAAAGCATATTCTCTTTTATCTCTCATGTCAACAGACTCTAATTCAAAATGTTTTTCAGCAACCAATTAAAAAGAAGAAAGTTGTTTGATAGTGATGTTCCTACTAGAACATGCACTTACAATACTGCCAAAGATTAACAGATTCTTACTCAATTGTCTATCTGTCCACAGTTACAGGGTTCAACCAACCACCTCACATATCACATGATCAATCTACTTTGTATATGCAAATCAACAGAATATTCTGTATTACTGATTTTACTTTTTTTCTTTTTGTTGTGTTTTCTTGCTGTAGTTTCTCCCCATGATTATTGTTTTGTGTTTTATTTGTTTAATTATCATTATATTTAGCA